CAGGACTGGCCAGAGCTGTTTTCCGCCCTCGCGCGTTCTTGCTCTCGCTCTCTCACCCCCAGCCAAGCCCAGCCCTTTTGACTCCGGGCCCCTCGTTCCCTCCGCCCCACCCAGGGTGGCCCTGGAGAGCTGGACCTGCCCGCCCCGGCTGGGACCATGGTGTTTCTCTCCGGAAATGCTTCCGACAGCTCCAACTGTACCCACCCGCCCGCACCGGTGAACATTTCCAAGGCCATTCTGCTTGGTGTGATCTTGGGGGGCCTCATCCTTTTCGGGGTGCTGGGGAACATCTTAGTGATCCTCTCGGTGGCCTGTCACCGGCATCTGCACTCGGTCACTCACTACTACATCGTCAACCTGGCGGTGGCCGACCTCCTGCTCACCTCCACCGTGCTGCCCTTCTCGGCCATCTTCGAGATCCTGGGCTACTGGGCCTTCGGCAGGGTCTTCTGCAATATCTGGGCGGCTGTGGACGTCCTGTGCTGCACCGCGTCCATCATGGGCCTCTGCATCATCTCCATCGACCGCTACATAGGCGTGAGCTACCCGCTGCGCTACCCGACCATTGTCACCCAGAGGAGGGGCCTCCGCGCTCTGCTCTGTGTCTGGGCGCTGTCCCTGGTCATTTCCGTCGGGCCGCTTTTCGGCTGGAGGCAGCCGGCCCCGCAGGACGAAACTGTCTGCCAGATCAACGAGGATCCGGGCTACGTGCTGTTCTCCGCGCTGGGCTCCTTCTACGTGCCGCTGGCCATCACCCTGGTCATGTACTGCCGGGTCTACGTGGTGGCCAAGAGGGAGAGCCGGGGCCTCACGTCGGGCCTCAAGACCGACAAGTCGGACTCGGAACAAGTGACGCTCCGCATCCACCGCAAAAATGTCCCCGCGGGAGGTGGTGGTGTGAGCAGCTCCAAGAACAAGACGCACTTCTCCGTGCGGCTCCTCAAGTTCTCCCGGGAGAAGAAAGCAGCCAAAACGCTGGGCATCGTGGTCGGCTGCTTCGTGCTCTGCTGGCTGCCCTTTTTCTTAGTGATGCCCATTGGTAAGTCTTCTCAGCCCCTACCTTGGTGTCTAGGGGTCTCCCTTCTCTTCCTCTCCGGTGAGTGAGTGGATGAGTCTGGGACAGGCTCCCTGGCGGGAACGTGAATTTCCCCTTTCTGCCGCAGTCTCATTTACCTGGGTTCCTAGGGCACTTTTTCATCAGCTGTAAAGTGGCTTCCTGCGGGTGCAGATTAATTGGTCTCCTTAATGAGAATGTCAACTCGTTTTAAAGCTTTTAAGCATGTATTCAATTCAAATCTATCAGCGCTCTCTGGAGACTTGGAGTCTCCCCTGTGCAGTCAGGCAGGTTGTGGAATGCCATCTTCCCTCAGCCGGTCACCCCTTGGCCTGAAAGTAAGCGCAAGGTTTATACTGGACAGGTGTGTGAGTTTTATTATTCGAGGCTTATACTGGACAGGTGTGTGTGTTATTATTCGAGGTTTATACTGGACAGGTGTGTGAGTTTATTATTCGAGGTTTATACTGGACAGGTGTGTGAGTTTATTATTGCAGTAGATTGTTCATAAAGTTTAGTGTGGTCTGCCTATGTGCTATGTCTGTTAATTTTATATTCTGGATTCAGTATGGGAGGATGAAGGATAAACAGCTAACAACAAAAGTGTTTTTATGTCCAAACCATTTAAGCCTTCAAGATTTCATTATCATGTTGTCAATAACTAAATGCTTATTTTAATGCAAAGTATTAAGCAGACACTGCTCTTATCCAGAATCATCCAGGAAGTTACAGATGACACTGTTGGAAAATAATACTGTAATGATACAGATTCCATTTTTTGCAGATGCCAAGTAAGCTGTTGTCAAAACTAATTGGCTCATTATAAGTATCTGCAGGCTGATCTCCTTGGAATAGGTATCTGTCTCTGAAAGGCCTTCAGTGAGATCCAAAAATGGTTCTTAGCTGTTTTTAGTTCATGAGCATTAATATAGACCCACATACTGGTCATCCACTAACTGTAACCAAAAAAAAAAAAAAAAAGTCACAGTGAAAATTAGTAACAATCCATTCTAAGTGCCTCAGAGCCACACTTAAATGGCATGGACTTAATGTAACTCTGTCATAATAACAGTGCCATATTTTGAGTGCCAACTAAGTTCTGGACATTGTACCAAATTCTATATTTTATTCAGCCTTTAAGCAACTATTATCCTGAAATGATGGGGTGGGGGAGCAAGTCTTCAGGTTTTAATACCATAGCCGCCAGTTATATGTTACTGTTTTAATATTTAATAATATCAAAATTCAGTTCCTCAGACCCACAAGCCACTTTCCAGGTGCTCAAGAGCCCCATGCAGCCAGTGGGTACTGTTTTCAGTGGCAAAGATGTACATTATTTCTATCGTGGCAGAAATTTCTATGGGACAGGCTGCTGGAGAGGCCCCTTTCCATCCCACCTAGCCTTGCTGTGTACCTGCTCCCAGAGTACACAGCTTTGAACTGAAGGAGGTAACATTCTGCCTGCCTGCCTGCCCTCCTGCATCCCACCTCTCACCGCTCTGGAACATGGCACTTATTCACCTGTTCTCTCAACAAGTACTTAGCACTTGTTTACAGCTTAGGTTGAACAAAGCAGAAAAGTCTTTGCCCATGAAATGTCTGCATCCTTTGGAAGGAGATGGGCATAAACAGAGGAGTACACCCTAAAAAAGACAAGGACTCGTGAGCATCCGCAAAAGTAAGAGGACAGAGAGTGACAAGACAATGGAGCAAGCCGTCAGAAAAGTCTGCTCCCCGCAAAGGTGACATCTGAGTGGAGCCCTGACTGACGTGAGAGAGGAAGAGCTCTCGGGCCGTACAAGCAGAGAGAAGCAAAAGGGGAGACCACCGTGGCTGAACCACAGGCCCTGAGGGACAAATTCAAAAAGAGGCTGAGGGTAGAGGAACTCGAGTCTCACAGGGTCTTCTAGGCCTGTTACCTTTGCGTGTGACTCTAATGATGAAAGGAAGCTGTTGGAGAGCTTTTGTCAGGAGATGCCTGCTCCCATTCTATACTTTTAAAGGATTGTTCCAGTTGTTAGATAGCACATGAGTTTTTGGGGGGTGGGCAAAAGTGGAAGCTGGGGAACCAGGGAGGAGGCTGTTAAGAGAAATCAAGCAGAGGCTGTGACAGCTTGGACACAGGTAGGACAGGTGGAGGAGGAAAGAAGTGGTCACATTCAGCACTTATTTCAAACAGAGAGCCAACAAATTCAGACGCAGAGTAAGAAAGGACAGTAATTAGGGGTAATTTATAGGATTGAGGCCTAAATAACTATGTAAATGGGAGTGCATTTCACTGAGAATGGAAGACCAGAAGGCAACAGACTTTGAAGGGGCTGCCAGAGGTGGGAATTGAGAGAATTTATTTTGAACACACTGTGCTGTGAAATATCTCTGAGGCATCTTAAGTGGAGATGCCAGCTAGGCAGTAGATAGGTGAATTTGGAGCTTTGAGAGGAAGGTGAGCTCCTGGTAGAAACTTTATACATCAACATGTATAAAGCTACCAAAATGAAGGGCTCTGCTGGAGAGAAGGTATTGAGACAAAAGAAAGAACTGAGCCTTGAGAAACTCTGATACTTGAGGTCAAGAAAAGAAGCAACCAGCAAAAACAGTGGAGAAGTGGCCCCAGAGGTAGGAGGAAAATTAAGAGATTGTTCTGTATGTTAGTCTTCCAGAAGGTGAGAGTGACCCAGTGAGAGCAGGACAGACAACAGCACCACTGGGGACAAGAAGATCCTTGCTATTGAGGGTGATGGCTTCAAGGGGGTGATGGGGACAATAACCTGACTCTGCTTTCCAGAGAAAAAGAGAAAGGGTGTGGTAAAATGGAAAACAGACAACCCTCTTGCTAGTTCTGCTACAGTGAAACCAGGAAAGGGGATGCAGCTGGAAGAATCTAGGGCAAGTTTTCGGAGGTAAGAGAGACTAGATCATGAATCTGTTCTAATGAAGATGGTGGAATAGAGAGGGATAGTTGTGGTGTACGTGAGGGAGGAGCCAGGACTTGGTGTTGGGTGGAGGAAATGACAGAAAATAGCTATGAACGCTGAGGCAGATAGGTATGGAGGAGAGCGTCGAGGTCTCTTCAGAACGTTTTTATATCAGCAGTGAGATGAGAAAGAAGAGCATCAGCTTAGAGTTAGAAGGGAATGAGGAATGTGGTGGGTGGAAGAGCAAGAGGAACACGTGAGGTACTCATCTTTGAGTGCAGAAAGTAAATTACTGTGGAAATTGTGTGGGGTCGCTGGCAAGTCCTGGGGGCCTGTTTGGGATTTACAGTCGTGCCTTCAAAGTGAAGGAGTCACAATGGCTGTGTGATGCTCTGAGACAGCTAAGCCATGGCTATGAGTGCTACAGTTTAACACAAAGAGTAGATGTCTCTAAGGGCACATACCTTGGGTCCGATCACGGACCATGCAGAGCCAGATGGTAGAAAGAACCCTGGGCTCATAGATGGCCTGGAAGTCTGGGGTTGTGCTGTTGAATGGGCTGTGCTATGAGCTGAGGCGTGATGACCTGGGCCCTGTGTCCTACAGGGGAAGATGGGTGCTCTAGTCTTAAATAGCCTCCCCCTTGGGCCTGTGTTTTCAGGGATCTGGTAACGCTAAGCCGAAGGTGTTGCGGCACAGGGAAGTCGTGGTTAGATAGGAGTACCCAGAATTGGCGAGCTTCCTTTAAATCCAAATTAAGGGAAACAGCAGGAGGGAAATAGAAAACATACAGGGCTGAGGGTCTAGCTCAGGGGTAGAGTACTTGCCTCATATGCAGGAAGCTGTGAGTTCCATCCCAGTGAAGGGATGAAAAAAGGGAAGAAGGGAGGGAAGAGAAAGAAAGGATTAAAGCTAACAGGGCCTGAACAGCCTGCTCCAAAGGACAGCAAAGGACCCTAAGACCCGCAACCTGTGGTCTAGTTTCCTCCTAACGTCAACTGAGTGAAAGAATATTTCTGCCGGGATGTATTGAAGGTATAAGGGGAGTCCCAGGCCCTGAGTTAGAATGAAAAGAGGGATAAATACACCCCTTGCCGTTCAGGGTCTCACAATCTAATTAAGGAGACAAACTGAGCAGTTCACCCAGGTAAGAGAGGTGGCTGCTCACCGTGGCATTGTCACCAGGTGCTGAGGATTCTAGTAATTTTCTGTGTCTAGGGGTCCCTACAGAAGCTTCCAGAAGGACCACTGTTGACTGAGCAGTTCCTTAAAGATTGCTCATTGCTTCTGCTGGGCCATCAGCAAGGTGTGGTCTGTTTTTATCAACAATGTTTAGCTCATTTTCCATGCAAAATGTGAACAGAAAAATAAATACACCATTATGTTATCTTACCCAAGGAACACAAGCTCCTCAGTGTGACAAGGGCTGTCTTGGAAAGAAGTAGTTACCAATCTGTGTGCTGCTGCTGACAAGGCCACGGATTACAGGGCAAGGGCAAAGGTAAAAGACAGAATGCCATGTGAGCAGGAATTGGCCCAGAATATTCTGGGAGATGGACTCACTTTCAAGGCCAACGGCTCTAGACAAGGCGAAGACTTCACTTCCCCACTGCCCTCACACTTCTGTCTCTCCCACGCTTCTCACCAAGCCCATACTGCTTGTTGGATTGGACAGTACGACCGTGGCGGTGGGTAGGAGCCAGCTGCCTCCGTGGTGCCTAGCACAGAGCAAATGGCAATGGATGTTCATCTTACAAGCATTCCTGTAAGTTGCCGACCATTACTGACCTATGTCAGCACATGTTGGCATGGGGTTTTCCTGGGTGGCATGAGAAGGAGAAAGCACCAGAGAGGAAGAGGTGAAAGCGGCAACATTCACTGAATACATAGCTGTGTGTCTGAATTCTGAGTATGTTATCTGATCTAAATGCAGAAAGCCAGCATTATTATTGGATTTAAGCCATAGCTATTATCTCTGAATCAAAGGAGCAGTGTCGCTCTTCGGGACAGATGATATTCGGTACTTTGTTCTTTAAAAAGACAGGAGGCAGCACCGTGGTGGGGAGAACG